CGGGTCAAATCGCACTCTCGCCTGCATTTCGCGCACTCGACACGCACGATCTCCGCAGAGGGCTGCGCCGGACAAATCCAAATCGTACTCTCGCCTGCATTTCGCGCACTCGACACGCACAATCTCCGCAGAGGGTTGCGACGGACAAAGACAAATCGCACTCTCGCCTGCATTTCGCGCGTCTGACACGCACGATCTCCGCAGAGGGTTGCGTTTCGTGGCGGTCCGGCGGCACTGCCCCCGGCCTTAAGAGAGAAAGTTAAGAAGAGCGAGAGGTGAAGATGTGAGCTGTAGATGTGAGGATGTGAAGATGAGCAGAGATGATGTGAGGATGTGAAGATGAGCAGAGATGTAGATGTGCAGATGTGAACATGAGCAGAGATGTAGATGTGCAGATGTGAACATGAGCAGAGATATAGGTGTGAATGTGGATGTGCACAGGTGAAGATGTGAAGATGCAGATGATACGTAGTTCTGCAGATGTGAACATGAGCAGAGATGTAGATGTGCAGATGTGAACATGAGCAGAGATATAGGTGTGAATGTGGATGTGCACAGGTGAAGATGTGAAGATGTAGATGATACGTAGTTCTGCAGATGTTTTTTTTACGAAGAACCCTTCGCAGACGCTCTCGGGAAAAACGAAACTGGTAAAAAGGGCAGACCAAAAAGTGCAAAACTCCGTAGAAATAGCAAAGCTTATTGTGAGTCCCGTGCCTCAGCACCTGGCCGAAATCTCGTGAAAAGGAAGGAGCACGCACGGATGAAGTTTTGGTTGGACTCCTCAAGCCGCTTTGGCACCTAGGAAACAAGTGCGATATTGGGTTCCGGTAGCAGGCACAGCAATATGCATGGCCAAGAAGAAACAAAAATAAATAAAGTGCCATACTGTACTTGTCCTACACAAGCACCTCTACCAGGACCGCCCAAGTGCAAAGAGCCAGAAAGCCCACTGGAAGCAAACATGCTATAGCACCAAGAATGCACATCTGCAAGTGCTCCTGCAAGTTCGGGGCATGGTAATTATCGTACTATCCAACAAAAACCTGACACTGGCTAGCTGCCAAACTGCCCCGTCCTCCTGCCAATTGCAGAACACATCGTGGTAGTCCTGCAGCTGCGATAGATTTGATTGAGGCTTACATGAAGCCACAGCTTGGCATATACAGATACCAAATCAAGAAACACTCCCGCTTCCCCCCGTGTACAAGGATTTGCTTGGATTGAGCGATTCATCAGGTCAAAACTCTGAATCCTTTTTCAGTTCATACTCCTTCTCATGGTTGCGGTCCGGTCGACAAAACTCAGCAGTCGCACAGCTGGCCAAAACACCTAAACTACTGTACTTCCTAGTCTCTCATCGTGGGCTGCGAGAACGCTGCCGCGCTGTGTCACGAGGTTGGCCGCAGCGAGGACACGTGGCATGTTTAGCGAAGACCAGATTTCTGTGATTGACACATTCAGCATTTGGACATTGCCAGTCTTGTGGATTTGATCCTCCTTTGCCTGGCTTGGCAGTCCCGCAAAGTGGGCAAGTTTCATGCTTGGCGAAGACCATTCGTTTGTTGTTTACACACTCCATGTTGGGGCACTGCCAATCACCAGGTCGGCCAAGGCTTGCCATCAAAGTGCTGGTCAAAGCAGCTGCCATGTAATCATTCAATCCATACCCTTTGGAGGCATACCCTTGAGATGCGTACCCTTGGGATCCATACCCTTCAGACCCAAACCCTTCAGATCCATAGCCCATTGACCCTTGAAGGTATCGCATCATAGATGAAGAAGAGGTTGTACCTGTGTCTGCAGCTGGCGTCACTGGCTTTGGTGTGGAAGCTGTCGGTTTGGCCCCTCCATATGTAGTAGGCCTGGACATGCCACACCTTAAAGCGTCAGCGTTGGAACAACTTCGAGATTTGAGTAAACATCATCATAATGATTCTACATTACATAAATGTGAGAAGAAAAAACCTTGAGCAAGCCAAGCATTGAGGCAAAGGCACTTTGGACAGGATTGATGCTTCCCGAAGACAGAATTTCGACTGTTGACACACGATGGGTTCGGGCATAGCCAATCCCCGACAGTCTTCGGATTCCGAGGCTGGCCACATGACGGACAAGAAGCATGCTTCCCGAAGACATACTTCGTGTGATTGATGCACTCCACGTTTGGGCATTGCCAATCGCCTTCGCTTGCACCACCCCTGCGGCCCATGCCCATCAGCTCGAAAGCTGATCCCGGAAACATTGAAGAGGGCCTCGGAGAGGGAGTCACTACTGGAGTCACTCTTGGCAGCACTTGTTCCTGACCTGCAGCCTTCAAGGCCGTCTGTAACCCAGCTTTTGGGGTGCCACACTTCGGGCAGAAGGCTTTGGAGCCAAAGACCAAAGCTGTGTGGTTCACACAAGCTGGATTTGGACACTGCCAATCCGGCGACCTCTCCATCTCATGGCTTGAGCCTAGTTCGCAATGCCCACCAGTTTTCTCAGTGCCACATCGTGCAAACCAATCGCCTTACAAAAAAAAATGCTGTATATATATACCATAATCATGCAAAAGGGTGCATGCCATCCTATGAGTCAGACAAACGACCCAACTTTGATTCTGACTGCTTGTACATAAGGTTTGGGAAGTGTCCGGCTTGTCTGTGTCCTGGAGAGTGAACTTTCCATTGGGGTGTTTCACGCATTGAAAGGGAGACAGCAAGGAGGAGAAGACTGAGATAAAGCAAATGATGAAGATGGTGCCCACCTCAGATAAATGGGAAGAACAAACCAGCACAATGTTGAATGCAAATCTACAAGCTCCGCACTAGAGCCCTGCAGGACTTGCAAAAGAATCCAATAATATCTCGGGGGGCATTGCATCCAAAGAGTTTTCGTCGGAAAGAAACAAATACAAGGTTGTCCACATCTTCCAAAACAGTGAAAGAATCAAACGGCTATCATGGCTTAACATGCAGGTTCTGAAAAGCCAAGAAGCTGTACGACCCAGCTGAGCCAGCTGGAAGCTTCCACACATGCTTCGCTTTGAGAAAAATGCCGAATATAGGAAGTGCACTATCAAAACTAGTAAGCAAAAAAGAGGCATCAGAAGTACTCCTTACTTGTGGCTCAAAAAGAATTCTGACCAGTGGCGAAGCAGAAAGGTAAGAGTAACGAACCAGAGGGCAGTCTACAAGCACATCAATGAACTTCCATGACGAGCAAACATGTCAAAATGGTGGGAACATAAAAATGGTTAAGCAAGGCCCAGGCTAAGGGACTGATGGAAAACTCGACCAAAGGGGCAACTTGTGAGATGCAGTCAATGGAAATGTGCTTGAGGTCAAAGTTCAGCAGTTGAATGGAATGCAGAACACTCAAGAAGGGCTCATCCCACCCGATCTTGAACCTCAGCAGGACCGTTGAAGGACAAAGGAATGGCAAAGCAAAAGGCGCACAGCCGTTCTGAGGCTTTGACTTGGCAAGCACAGTGAGCTTCTGTGCGATTGTGATCATTTGGGCCAGTGAGATAGTGACAATCAGTAGAGGCGATGGATGTCTCTTCGTCTGCACAGGCGCTCCAGCGTTTTCGAGACGTACCACACTGAGCACATGTTTCACACAACCATCCTGACTGGACTAGACTGCCGCAAACATCCCTTAGACAGGTTTTGGACAACATCCTTAGATTCTTTATACCACCATAGAATAGCCCTTGCTCCTCATTAAAAAAAACTTCGTGGCAAACCGCAATGATTTATGTGTATACCGCTCGCAATCACTCAAATCAACTTGCTCATGGAAAAAACTCAACGAGTTACCATGCATGGTGTTTCACTGGCAGTGCCCATATCAGCCTTGAGCAATCCCAGGTATAAAGCGGTTATGACCATGATCACCAGCACGGAAGTTGAGATGAAAATTGCAAAGTCAAGACCAACGCAAGGTCTGCAAGTGCCATCTGCCTGACATGTTGTCGCACTTTTCTACTTAGTCCTTGACTGAAACAAGACGAACTCAGCACCCTTGCCTCTGCATGTTTGCCAGACTCGCATCTGGAGCATGCCACACTTCTTCTGTCGCGTCCCAGGGCACAAGTCCCAGGGGGCCCTCCAGGGCACTTTCCAACATCTCCGAAGCAGCGGTAGATCTCACCAGGTGCATCCACTGTGGAGAAGTAGCCTCCCATGTAAGGCCGTGAACATGCTGTGACTCGACTCTCACTCTTCTCAAAAGCGCGTCACTAAATCTGGTCAAAGAAAAACGGATAGAGGAAGTATTGTCAGGATTTGTCAGGATAAGTTTCTGCATGCCTGGAAGAACTTGCAAGCTGTCTGATCCAGGACAGGTAGATCCCTCCATGCAATCCACACAGTTGCTTTCGAAGAGAAAGGTTCCAGGAACGCAAGCGCAAGACAAGTTTGAAGTCGCCCCTTGAACTTGGATCCACATCTCCTTCTCTTGCAAAGTGACCCACCGACTGGTTGTCCACTTCTGCATTTGGGCATCTCCACAGTTGTAGCAGTCTGTCATCCCACTGCTGTTTGCAAACCGACCAAGACCGCACAGTTCGCACTCTCGGGAGCCTTCATGAGGTGCCATGCTCCCAAGAGCGCAAGTGGTGCAGGAGGACTCTCCCGGAAAGCTTTGGTAGCTACCCGCTGGACAAGGCCGACAGGTGCGTTGGCCATTGTCTTGTATCGAAGCGTATCCCACAGGACAAATCTCACATCCAACAGCTTCAGATATGTTTTGCACAAACATCCCCCGCAAATTAACAAGTCCTTGCCCCCTACCACAATCAGTGTGGTGTGGCACCCATGTGAGCCAGTTTCTGTGTCTCTGCAGCCAGTTGCAAGCTGTTGTCCATGCCCTCGCATCGTTGTCAAAATCTTCTGGGTCCCCAGGTCTGCCGACGTGATCCTGCAAGAAATGGCTCCAAAGTGCAACCCCAACTGCTTCCTAGGTACACCTATGTTCAGAACCATCTTGCTTGACAAAATTTGCAACAACTGTCCTTAAGCAGTTCGAGCAAGTCACTGTTGGACAAATGAAATTTCTTGGCCAAAGAAAGTGGAAACTCACCACCTTGAGCTTGTTCACTGTCCAGGCCGCCAGCAGCCCAGGTGGACAAAAAAGCTTCAGTTCGCTGAGTTCCGTAGATTCCGTTTCGATACTCTTGTGAGTTGTGTTCCGGGAAAACAACTCTTTGGGCACCATACTCCACAAAAGTAGAATCTGGAGTCCACCAGTACAAGGCAGACTGGAGCTCTATATTCAGCTGTACATACTCATTCGGAGTTTGGATGGCCGTGGCAAATGCCAGAGGCATGTTGTGAAAGGAGGCCTGCTGTACCAACTCAACCATTCCCCAGCCCAATCCCCCAGTGACAACTGCCCCACAATACGAGACATTGTGGCGGCAGGATGGAGCTGCCCACCACTTGCCCTTCCAGCACTTCAATAGAGGGCGATCGTCCTCAAATCTCAAAACATGTGCACATACGCTCATGTATTGCAACTTCGCTTGCTCACTTAGCTGCCAAAGGCTTCCACAAAACACAACGCCCCCAGTACCTAAAAGTTTGTTTGGTGTCCGAACTAATACTCTTTCACAAAAAACGTCGACACCCTCCCAGCCTGATACTCTACACCACCTTCATCGGCAGTTGCTTCCAAGTACTGTTGCCCCAGAAAAGGATATGCAGTGTTCACCGCCTCTGCACATGTCAGAAGCTTTGTCATGTTCACTTCATCGACCACGGGGATATACCGCTGTGGTTCGAACCAAGAAGCCTGACAAATTCAAGCGCTCGAAGGTCAAGCACACAGATCAAATTGCAACAGCCCAAGCCAATCGAGATATCTTCTTGCCTATGTCAGCCACGTGGCATTGTAGTGGCTGAAATAAGTAAGCGACAAACCAGATCTAGTTGCAGATGCCATGGACGGCAAAGACATAACAAAGAGGCCCTGGTATCCAGCGTAGCCCGGGCTCCCAAGGCTCGCCGGCGCATACCTTCACACAAGGCGGACTCAGCCAGCTCGTCCAGCAAACAATGCATTGAGCAGTGAAATTGGAAAAATACTTGGGGCCCAGGCTCGCCCATAGCCAACAGAGCTGGACGCACGTAGGGTCGCCCTCTGCACCAGGGTCGAGAATAGGTCATTTCAATATTGCAGTGAATTCTGAGCTTTGCATTTGTTCACGCACAGTTTGTGCAACAAAATTGTGAATGCAAGCGATGCAGCTTTGAGCAGAACTCTTTATATATATATATATAACAGCGGCATTGTGGAAGGATTGCCTATTTCCCAACACCCTGGAAATTTGGGAGCAACCTGTGGTCATGTTAAGAGACGTGGGTGATTGATGTCTGGTTGATCAGTGACTTACCTGTTCAATTTTTGGTGGTTCTTGTGGCTTGTGAAAACAGTTGTGGTGTGGACAGCCAGCCACCGGAAAACAAAGTGACGCTGCTAGGGACGTTGGGAACTGGCAGACAAGTGGACAACCTCTTTGGTAACAATGTCAAGTGCCCCGTCTGATTCCGTTACATTTGACATGAGCTCGTTTTGGATATGTATGATGAATCACCGTTTCTGGATGCAACTGTGGGACTGCTATTTTGCACGGGGCTCTTCTTTTGTGAAGGGCGCCGCCAAGCTTGGAAAGGTTCAATGGCTTTCACAGTTTGTTGAGGCTGGTTGACTGAATTGTACTGTACAGCTTGGTCATGCTTGCTCCATTCTCCCAGTGTTTTGAATAGATTACATGTCTAGGCACCAATTACAAAGAACTTCGGGCGAGGTGAGCCCAAACAACACAATAGGTAGGAAAAACAAGTGCAGGTGACAAGTAGTTGACTCATCAATGTTCTGCTGGTGTAACCTGCTAGTAAACGATGCCTTACCACACCTATGAATCATAGACATGTCCAGCTGTCCAGGGAAGGTTTTTCCCAAGCCTTCCTGCCAGCTCTCGAAAGCAAAGTGCCAGCGCCGCGGCGGCACACAATCTGCCTCCGCTCAGCATGCTCAAAAAGATAAAGAATCTGAGCTGAAAACATTAGTCCTCAAGGCAATGACTCATTGACTCTCGCAATCTGCTGATTGACCTACGGGCACTTATAGAAAACTTGTTTAGAGACAACCTTGCTGGCACTTCTACATTGAACCGCTGCCAGCACTCCTGCATTTACATGTTAGTCAGTCAGAGTGTACAAGCTGTTTGCTTCGACCAAACCCAAGTGGCCTTGCTCAACCATCTTGAAACTAGGGTGGAGACACCTAGGCGGCCTTCTACTCGAAACCAGCTGCCACAAACTATTACTCAGTGATTGGAATTCTGATAGTCCGAGAGAGATTGCTCCCAGGCGAAAATGGTGCTTCAAATTTCTGCAAGTCCAGACGCCCCAGGAACCTGGATGTCAGTGGGATTCAATTGTGAGCAGCCTGCCAACATCCAAATATAACTGTAGCTCCCAGATCCTTCAGGGTAGTCAGCAAACCCTGTTCTTTTTGGGGGGTAGGCCGCTAGAGGTAGGTTGCTAGTAGTAGCTAGGAAACTACTAGTACAAGCTCTCCCCGCGCCCTAAAGGCGGCGGGGGAAGCTTCCTTGAAGAAGCGCTCACTAATGACTTGGTTCCTAGATATTTAGGAAATTTTGAAGTTTCGGTTGTCACTGATATGCATCCACCATACAGGGTTTCTCGTCACAGTGCCTGTTCCATATTCCACCTGATAGCCCATAATCTCAGAGAGCAAAATCCCATAGATCTTGCTGGAAATCAGTGAGCTGTCCCAAGCACCGCGCCAAAGTCCAACTGGCATGGAATATCCGTCCAAGGTAAGATTAACTCCTCAGTTCTCGAAGCGAAAGCATTGCATCATCCAAGAATGAAAACATCAAGTTGCAAAAACTGAGAGGAAGACCAAATTCGCGAAAATGACCACTAGGCAGAGCTTAGGAAGCAAGACTAGTCATGTCGCACAAAGGCAAGAGCCTAGGAAAACATGAAATCCCGGCGGCAAAACTTTGCCAGCTCGGCCACGCGGCGATCCGACTCTGGGATAGCATCAAGAAAGCACTGCTTGCCAAATACGCAGAAAAAATGTAGAAGGAACAGACAAAGCAAGATTGACTTCATGACATCATTAGATTCAGCAATCGCAGAACCTTCGACCCAGCCAATTTGGAGCTGGGAGTTGAGGGCGCTAGTCGGGAAGGGAACGTGTCATTGTTTTTAAAGTTGTTTGAGTCTGTTTCTTGAACATGGCATTCTTCAAAGAGCCTTGTGGCGCACTTTGTGTGCCTACTCCAAAAAACCTAAGCAGACTGATCCTTTCAGCGGACGCGCAAAAATGCTGCAGTCGAAAACCTGTTGCTTGTCTGCAATCCCTTCAATTGCACCCCTTTGTTCAAAAATTCATTTGATCAAAGACCTGGTTGACAGCAGGCCGAAGCCTTGCAGAACGGCACGCCCTGGAAGTGCACTTTACCGCTATTTTCAGTGATCTGGAGGTGCATGTTTTAGTAAATTTCAAGGATCTACTGAGATTGATACACAGCACCAGTACTGCCAAGGACATCTCAACTGCTGTACTCTGAAAAATGCATAGGACGTTAAAAGCAAAAAACAAAAAAACAATCCTAGGAGACTCTTTGGGGAGTAAACAAAAAAAACAATCCTAGAAGACTCTTTGGGGAGTAAACCAAAAAAATAAAACAACAACAACAACAACAAAATGCTGGGAGGTCTTGGGCTGGGGGGGGTGTCCAAAGACTCTGTCAGGATTTGTTTTTAGTATTTTTTTGGTGAGTTTAATTCCCAAAGAGTCTCCTAGGATTGTTTTTTTGTTGTTTTTGGTTTACTCCCCAAAGAGTCTCCTAGGATTGTTTTTTTGGCTTTTGGACACCCACCCCAAGACAAGACCTCTGAAGAGTCCGTTATTTTTGTTTCTTCTATTTTGTGTTTTGGCATCTCTAACTTTTTCATCACATTCATCAATTTTTTAATACAAATAGAGCACCTTGTAGCATTTCTGAATTCTAATTATTCTTCTTCACTAATAACCATTGGCTTATTAACATTCATCTTCTCAATGATATCAAATTTGAAATTACCCAACTGTTCTATAAATTTATCTATACAATACAGATAAGGTGTGGATGCTTTGTCAATTCTATTCGCAAGGTTTATGCTCTTGATATGTACCCTTAATCCCATCAAAAGAAATAATCACAATCAAGCATTCAAAATATCCATAAATAACAAAAAGACATTCTAATTTAGTATTATATTTTTCAAAGTCAAAAAAAGGACCTTCAGGGGGTAGGTTGAATTGTTGCCCCGCAATTGCTAAACAACCCCTTTTGCAATGTTCTTCCAAGACCTCTTCTTTACAAAAGGGATGAGAACAATACCTACAGATATGTGTTTTATTGTTACCTTTATTCAGTTGACAATTTAATAACCTACTCAAAGTAAAGCGTATTCAAAACTTCCACAAATTTGAAATGTACATTCTAATTTAGTATTATGCTCCTCAAATTCCTAACGGAACCTTCAGGTTCACACACGTGCATCTAAACCTCCACGTTCTAGAAGCTGCACAGACACTCCCGTTTTCACTGCCTGAGAATGCAAAGCTTTGAGGTCTCGTTTCCGGGAGTTTTCACCCGGCCAGATCTCTGATCTTTCTTTCAAGACCAGCGCGATCTTTGCACTGAAGATCGATGGACCTTCGAGATTTCATAGTGGGGTAGGTGAACACTGACAAATGAGGGAGGCAAAGCGCCAAGCTAAGGCTTTGATACCGAAAACTACTCCATAAGGGGGTGGGAGGGTGAGGTTTTTCTTAACGCTACCCCCCAAAGCCAACGTTTGGTTCAGATGCACGCTTCGAGCCAAACCGGTTCCGTTAGAGCACGTGCAAACAGACATGAACAAGTACATGAGCCGTTCACACACGTGCATCTAAACCTCCACGTTCTAGAAGCTGCACAGACACTCCCGTTTTCACTGCCTGAGAATGCAAAGCTTTGAGCTCTCGTTTCCGGGAGTTTTCACCCAAGATGTACTGGAAACGGAGCGCAACCAAAAAAAACCCAGAAGAGTGATTCGTTTTCAGGCAGTGAAGGTAGGAATGTCCCAGGTGGACGCGAACCCTTCGGGAAAGAACTTTGCGGCGCTGCCTACGTTCCACAATGTGGAGAGTGAAACCCGCTCTCGATCAGCTACGGTGAAACCGAACGGAAGGGGAAGATGGGCTTCCCATCGGCTGAGTGCATCGGCCTGGTCGTTTTTTACGCCTGCGATGTGGGAAACATCGAGAAACATGTTAAAACGGCAACTTAATAGAGCCATTTTTTCCAAGATCAGGGCATGGTTAAGATTAGTGGAGAACAGGCGGTTTGAAGAACTTTCTGCGCCGGCGTTGTCGCTCAACGAAGGCAATGTCAGAGCGACCCGGGCGTGCTTCAAGTGGCGTGTGACCACAAACAAAAGCATGAACTGAGCTAAAGTTTCAAGAGCGGAGATTTCCCTTTGCAGATCGGACTTAAAGGAAAAGCCTAAAGGCTGAAGGTCGGTGAGCGAAAACCGTTCGGAAACCACACAGTGCGGCCCTCTGGCAGCTGCACGAACCCCCCAAATCCGGACAGCTCTCCATGCGCAAAAGCATCGGCAGCGAGATGCAGTGGAGCTCGCGACCTGGGACGCATGGAGAGAATGGGGGTGCCCGGGAGCAACCATTGCTCAAACAACTTGAGCACTCTGATACTGGATGGGCACAACTTTCTGGAAGAGGAAGTGGGGCTACGAATTCGCATCCAAACCCGACGGTCGGTGATTGGAATCCGGTCCAAGTCTTCCAAACATGAAACCTCCCGGTGTTTGACTGACACCAAGGTGCTATTAATGGGGATGGAAGTATCCGTGGGGGAAGTGTGGAACACAAGGCGAGGCGTCAAACAAGGGCGGATCGTGTCCCAGTTGGCTGGGCTGACACTATACTGTGTTGCAGGGATGGAACTCAGGTCTGAGTACAACCAGTGGAGGTGTACTTTTAAAGCTGGAAACAGGGATGTGCACCACAAACTGAGACCTAAGAAGCGTTCAAACAACTTCTTGCTGGTTCGTGAGTGCTGCAAAAGCTCTCGAACGAGTTTAAGAAGTTTCTGCTGCTTATCTGGATGTAAAATGACTAAACCTGCGTGGAAATTAAAAATCCACCCGATCCAAGACACGGTGAGTGCTAAGACGCACTTCTTCCAAGATACGGGGATGTGAAAAATGCGGCAAAGCAGGACGATGATGGTCGCAGAGATGGGGAGGACTAGTTCATCTTGGGTCAGGATGTAGTCATCTACAAAGAGCAACATGGCATGAGAAAGGAACAGAACTTGGTGGAAGAACCTGAGCAGGAAGCTCCCCAGCCGCCCCCACCAGTGTTGGCAATGGGCACACGCGGTAGAAACATATTTGCCCCTTCCAAGTGAACCCGATGAGGCCAACCTCATCCTCTTTGACTCGGATCCGCTTGTGCGCGGCCTCAATGTCCAGGGAAAAGGCGGACTGTGGTTTGACGGTGTTTCGAAGGGGAAAACATCGTACCATGTCGCTGGCGGATGGCATGTTCTGCTTCTCAGGGATCGCGCAGGCCGAATTGGTGCCGCACACGGTGTTATCTAGCACTAACCGAGGCTTTCTAGAGTCACTAAATGCGAGACCAAGTTTTCCCAGACCAACACCTTTGGGCCAACGGGCTTTGGCCTCCTCCAGCGTGCCTGAAAAGGGAAAAATCCAGTTCTGCGCAAGTTCTTCTTGAAGAAGAGCAATAGTGATGTCTGCGTGGTCCTCTGCGGACTTCCAATTAGTGAAGTGGGTGGTAAGTTCACTAACGGGAGGGCAGTCCACAGCGTCTTTGGGATGAAAAACGGTGGAGAGCGGGATATCATTCATAAACCCGGATGGACCAGTCCAAAGGTCCAACCATGGGTTCCAGTGCTTGTTCAAAGAGTAGTCTGAAAATCTCGATTGTGGAGGCATCGAATGGCGGATCAGGAGAAGGGGTGGACAATCTTTCGACCAGCTGATGGTGTAACCCCATTTCCAGAATTTTAGGGATCCATGCGTCTCAAAGGGGCTTGAAGACATTGCTGGAAGGAAAGCCCCGACTCCGATCAGCTTGAGAAATTGCGCCCCCCCCCGTCGACCTGGCTAAACGGGGTCATGGTGAGAGATTTGGTTGGGATGTGCTGCAAGGCTTCCTGCAAGGTTTCGGAGGGGCCTGGGGCTAGTAACGGCGCAACACACTGAGACTGCGCGAATGCACACGCTAGCTTCGGCGGGTAGTGAGCGGTGCTCCGACTGCGCCAGTCGCCTGAAGAAGTCTTCTGACCTGCAAAGGATGGATGCGGTTGGCAGAGCGACTGCGCTGATTGGCTCACTGCGGTTACAAGGGATCTATTGGCCTCCATTCCTTTCCGAGAAGTTTTCGTAATTCTTGCCCTTTTTCTGCCGCAGCTCCCCTTTGCAGAGGGAGCAAGAGTTGATAATCAGCTCTGGTCTAGCCCAATGATCCAACAAGTGGCAACTGAAGTCCAGGTTACTCCGGTGGCCCAAGGACTGAGAGGCATGAACGAATATCGCATTGCGTTCCCAGCTCACTCGAGGGCTGCTGCGTTTTGCTCCCCTGACACCACTGTGCAGCAGCTCAACCACCTGGCTAGTATCCCGCCGGAAAAGATACGCATTGGCTGCCAAGTCGGCAAAGTCTATCGCATTGTCTTTCTAGAAAATGCAGCGGTCTTTACCATACTCGGGGTCTTGTTGGAGTACGTTGCACAACCCCGAAAGAAGTCCAAACAAGGGGGAACTGAAACTTATGAAGAATCGACAGCAAGATACAGCAGCCCCAAGTCGTGGATAGTGGCAGTGATTCCAGTTCCTGAGGCCTTTGCCCCTCTCCCGTCCAGGGGAGAGATTGGGACGAATATAGCCGCGGTGTGGGACCTCCCACCGTGCATGAAGGACCTTACACCTTGCGCCACAACACTTCGAATCCTCAGCCTGGCAGAGGTTGGCAGTACTGCCTCTGCTGACCACCTCCTACAGATGGCAACGATGCCACTCGAACACAAAACCACTGCTGAGCGCCTCCTACTCGAAAGTTGCGTAACAAGAGAGCCTGCGCCTCCGCCATGGACGTTATTTGCTG